CCTAATCCTCGTTAATCGATTCAGAACGATTTTTAAATGTTTTTTTTTTTTGATAAAATAAATAATATTTGCGTATGGAACTAAAGAGCCGCAGCTTCACATCCAAAGAGCCGCATGTGGCTCGCGAGCCGCAGGTTGCCGACCCCTGCCCTAGGGTAGTGGCCGGATGGCCGAGCGATCAAGGTGGCAGCCTACCGCTATGGGGGACCCGGGCTCGAATCCGAACGGGTCGAATAATCCCCAGGAATTTTTCGGGGGTGGTCCGTTCGGATATGTCAGACCCCGTCCCTCACCACCCGGCAGCTCTAGTAATTTGTGGGCCTGGTCGAACTCATAATGGGCTTGCAAAAAGAGGCCCTCTTAGTGCCCACAAGGCGGAAAGAGTAAAAAACAAAAAAAATGGCCCTAGGGGGTTCGCCAGAATTTTTTAACTTGTAAAGGGATCGCGTATTCAAGAAGGTTGAAAAACACTGTCCTAGAGTATGCATTTTGAACTTCGAGTCCCTTATCTACTCTTTGTGACGTTTATGGTTATGAGAAGCACAGAAATGATGACGATTGATAAAATACAGATGACAATTATTAATTTACGTCATCCGTATTTACATTGATTTTACATGTAATTTACATCATCAAAATCATACGTGATACATTTCCATGATCAAATAAGCAAAATATTTAAAAAATGGAAAACATTTATTATAATAATTTTATTATTTTAAAATTACTAGAATGGCGAGATTAGTTGAAGTGATTGCCGTCAGGTTGAATGTTAAACTCGTCGAAGAAATTCATTAGAGAACCACCAATGACCAAGCGGTTCCCGTTCCCTGAATACTGATAGGTCGGTCATGGGTTCGCGTCTTCGCCAGGACGAGATGGCTACAGAGAGTTTTCTGTATTTTCTCCATATCTCTAGCGCCTATTCTCCATATCTCTAATGCCTAAATAGAGGCTAACTATCCTTAATAAGACCTTTCAGAAGGCATTTCCCCCTGCTTTCCGCGAGTAATTTCAAATGGTCAATCAAAAAGCTTTGGTCGGCTCTTCGGAGGATAAGCGATTATGCAGTAACCTCCATATTAACTCCGATATGAGAGGGAAGAGAACTTCATTAGAGGTTTGTCTACTTCGGTAGCAATTAGGAGGGATTTCTTATACCGTAAGATATTAATCATTAAGATTACAATATGTATCAAAATTCATAAAATGTTATGAAAAAATTAATTACTACAGCATTTCTAAATATGTTAATTTCTTTAAATATCGACATGAAAATTCGGAATTGAAAAATTAATTTTTAATTATATTTAATAGTTATAATTTCCGATAAATTATAGGCTATATAATCTATAGAAAAAACAGTATAATTTGTTTTATGTTATAAATCAATCAACTTTAAAATAATAAAAAGTTTTTCGTTTATAAACAAATTTTTGTTTCTATTGAAGTTTAATTTGGTAAATTTAAATAAAATGTATGAACACATTTTATTTTATATAATTTTACATTAATTTAAATTACCTTATTCTCAGGTGCAATCAAAATCCATGAACAGTTGACATTTTTTGGATAAAAAGTTTTTCCATCATATCCAGGACTCGTGATTACGCCTTCTTCGTCATAAATCCTAATAGGTTGATCGACTTTACACGAATTTGTCGAATTAAACTGCACGTATACTAACAAACCAAAATAAAAAATTACAAATATATTATTTTATGTTTAAATTGTCGACTAAAAATATTCTTAATGTAAATATCATAAAGGAATTTGCTTTAAATGATTTTTAAATGATTAAGAATTTCGTATATAATTCAACTTTTAAAAAGAAAATTAAGCTTATCAAAAAGCTCAGAAAATTTGGTTTCAGTACACATTAAATGTAATCTGCTTATGAATTTTTCCAAACGATAACATTATTTACTCTTTATTGTTAAAAAATTACGTATGTTGTATAAATTATATTTAAATAGCTATTGTATAATTGTATTTATTAAAATGAAAGCATATAATTTAAAGTGTATTTTTAATTAATATTGTAAACTGTGAATTTAGTGTAGTATTATACAAATAAACTGCTAACGACTCTACTCCGACCACCTTCAACTTCAGAAATTTCTCCACAAGCTCTCCACATTTTTTATTCTTTTTTAAAAAATTTATAACAATTCTTTGCAAACAACATTAACTTCATAGTTTTACAGTTATTTAATTCGTAAATTAAAAACTTTTAATAAAAATAATCGATACAAAGACAAAAGAAAGCGTAATAAAGCAGACAAATTAATACTTAAATCTCAGAAATAGCCTACAGATGATAATCCACTTAAAATCGATCATTGACATGACGTTTTAATCTAAAGATGTTTCATAGCGCATAAAACATTTTAATTTTCAGAATTTAGATTTTTATTGTAACGTACAATACTTGGCATTCCCTTTCAATTATGCTATTTCGTATTTTTGTAATAAGTAGTCATTTATTCAAACACTTCATGTAAGCGAAACTGTGAAATAATCAGCCAATAAGTAAGGCAAATACATATATATATATATATATTATATATATAATATTACTTGAAACACCTTATATTATTTCATTCGCAAGATCAAATAAAATTATATTATCTGTAAGCGATTTTACATGGTGATAAATCGTTATCAGTCAATTTTCTTAATTTTTATTTTANAAGAGCCGCAGCTTCACATCCAAAGAGCCGCATGTGGCTCGCGAGCCGCAGGTTGCCGACCCCTGCCCTAGGGTAGTGGCCGGATGGCCGAGCGATCAAGGTGGCAGCCTACCGCTATGGGGGACCCGGGCTCGAATCCGAACGGGTCGAATAATCCCCAGGAATTTTTCGGAGGTGGTCCGTTCGGATATGTCAGACCCCGTCCCTCACCACCCGGCAGCTCTAGTAATTTGTGGGCCTGGTCGAACTCATAATGGGCTTGCAAAAAGAGGCCCTCTTAGTGCCCACAAGGCGGAAAGAGTAAAAAACAAAAAAAATGGCCCTAGGGGGTTCGCCAGAATTTTTTAACTTGTAAAGGGATCGCGTATTCAAGAAGGTTGAAAAACACTGTCCTAGAGTATGCATTTTGAACTTCGAGTCCCTTATCTACTCTTTGTGACGTTTATGGTTATGAGAAGCACAGAAATGATGACGATTGATAAAATACAGATGACAATTATTAATTTACGTCATCCGTATTTACATTGATTTTACATGTAATTTACATCATCAAAATCATACGTGATACATTTCCATGATCAAATAAGCAAAATATTTAAAAAATGGAAAACATTTATTATAATAATTTTATTATTTTAAAATTACTAGAATGGCGAGATTAGTTGAAGTGATTGCCGTCAGGTTGAATGTTAAACTCGTCGAAGAAATTCATTAGAGAACCACCAATGACCAAGCGGTTCCCGTTCCCTGAATACTGATAGGTCGGTCATGGGTTCGCGTCTTCGCCAGGACGAGATGGCTACAGAGAGTTTTCTGTATTTTCTCCATATCTCTAGCGCCTATTCTCCATATCTCTAATGCCTAAATAGAGGCTAACTATCCTTAATAAGACCTTTCAGAAGGCATTTCCCCCTGCTTTCCGCGAGTAATTTCAAATGGTCAATCAAAAAGCTTTGGTCGGCTCTTCGGAGGATAAGCGATTATGCAGTAACCTCCATATTAACTCCGATATGAGAGGGAAGAGAACTTCATTAGAGGTTTGTCTACTTCGGTAGCAATTAGGAGGGATTTCTTATACCGTAAGATATTAATCATTAAGATTACAATATGTATCAAAATTCATAAAATGTTATGAAAAAATTAATTACTACAGCATTTCTAAATATGTTAATTTCTTTAAATATCGACATGAAAATTCGGAATTGAAAAATTAATTTTTAATTATATTTAATAGTTATAATTTCCGATAAATTATAGGCTATATAATCTATAGAAAAAACAGTATAATTTGTTTTATGTTATAAATCAATCAACTTTAAAATAATAAAAAGTTTTTCGTTTATAAACAAATTTTTGTTTCTATTGAAGTTTAATTTGGTAAATTTAAATAAAATGTATGAACACATTTTATTTTATATAATTTTACATTAATTTAAATTACCTTATTCTCAGGTGCAATCAAAATCCATGAACAGTTGACATTTTTTGGATAAAAAGTTTTTCCATCATATCCAGGACTCGTGATTACGCCTTCTTCGTCATAAATCCTAATAGGTTGATCGACTTTACACGAATTTGTCGAATTAAACTGCACGTATACTAACAAACCAAAATAAAAAATTACAAATATATTATTTTATGTTTAAATTGTCGACTAAAAATATTCTTAATGTAAATATCATAAAGGAATTTGCTTTAAATGATTTTTAAATGATTAAGAATTTCGTATATAATTCAACTTTTAAAAAGAAAATTAAGCTTATCAAAAAGCTCAGAAAATTTGGTTTCAGTACACATTAAATGTAATCTGCTTATGAATTTTTCCAAACGATAACATTATTTACTCTTTATTGTTAAAAAATTACGTATGTTGTATAAATTATATTTAAATAGCTATTGTATAATTGTATTTATTAAAATGAAAGCATATAATTTAAAGTGTATTTTTAATTAATATTGTAAACTGTGAATTTAGTGTAGTATTATACAAATAAACTGCTAACGACTCTACTCCGACCACCTTCAACTTCAGAAATTTCTCCACAAGCTCTCCACATTTTTTATTCTTTTTTAAAAAATTTATAACAATTCTTTGCAAACAACATTAACTTCATAGTTTTACAGTTATTTAATTCGTAAATTAAAAACTTTTAATAAAAATAATCGATACAAAGACAAAAGAAAGCGTAATAAAGCAGACAAATTAATACTTAAATCTCAGAAATAGCCTACAGATGATAATCCACTTAAAATCGATCATTGACATGACGTTTTAATCTAAAGATGTTTCATAGCGCATAAAACATTTTAATTTTCAGAATTTAGATTTTTATTGTAACGTACAATACTTGGCATTCCCTTTCAATTATGCTATTTCGTATTTTTGTAATAAGTAGTCATTTATTCAAACACTTCATGTAAGCGAAACTGTGAAATAATCAGCCAATAAGTAAGGCAAATACATATATATATATATATATTATATATATAATATTACTTGAAACACCTTATATTATTTCATTCGCAAGATCAAATAAAATTATATTATCTGTAAGCGATTTTACATGGTGATAAATCGTTATCAGTCAATTTTCTTAATTTTTATTTTAGTGAAAGACAAAAGAAAACGTTATAATTTAATAAATAAATTTAAAATAAAAATAAAAATTTTAATAATTGTTAAATAACACTTAATACAAATAATACAAAAACTTTGTATAAAAATTATTTAGCAATAGTTTATACAATATATAGCAGAGTCTTGTCCTCATTTGAATACTTACATATGAAGTACAATTTCCCTGGAGAAAAATGCCTTATATTTACTTCGAAAAATAACTAACTTTATTTTAAGAAAACATTTACA